CTGTATGATCAACCAATGTTAACACGCAGTGTGTATATTTGTAAACGTTTTTGAAGAATAATCGTAATACAGATTACCTCGTGTGTTGTATCTATATTCTAGTTAAAGCGTATTGTGTATCCAAACCACTCTGAGACATTATTTTGACAAAATTATAGCCGAGCGTGGTTACCTGACGTGAATTTGGTTTGGCGGCACGAGTTTCATAATCTCACGACCCACAAACTACTCGTTGAATCCGTGTAGATTTTATGGACCGGTATCGATTGCTTCGTAATTGCTGCTATCGTGTACGGAAGTTGTTTTGGCAGAAGTAAACATCGTGATTTAGATCTGTTTGTTGAGAAACTGTGCGTAGAGGCAAATTGAAGATTTTAGACGTTTGTCATTAAAAATTTGCTGCGCGCAGGAGATGGCGGGTATGAGAATGCAGAAACCGGAGGTGTCGTTATAAGACGCTACTGCGGCCGAGACTGCTCAGTACAACATGGCGTTGAAGTCGTGGAACAAAGCGGATCGTGTGTCTTACCAGATCGTTATGATTACCTTAGAAAAGAGTTGGCATTACTGGTTGTTTGTGAAAATGCTCAAGACATATCTGAAGTTACATGCAGAGTTTGAACAAGAGGCAAAACAAGCTTCCTATGCTGTTTAGTGAGAGTATTTCAATTTTTACATGATTCCAACTGATGATATGGTCTCATATCTCGCTTGCTTTAAAATTTTAGTTCTTCTTATGTGTCATTTGAATGTAAAACCTGAAAAATGTTTTGATAGAGGCTGAAGGTGTGCAGATCCCTAAGAATTTGATGGAAGTGCTTACCTTTGATGAAAGGCGCAGAACTTAACGAAAAGAGAAACAAGTTGAAATGGTTGAATGAGTGGCTAATAAATCGATGGCTAGGGAAAGTACTAAACCAGAGAACGCGGGTAGTGCTGGAAGTGGTTCGTAAAAAAAGAGAAGCAAGGAATAATAATCTAAAAATTAAATTCTATCGTTACGACGTCTTGATACACATACAACGTGTGTCTCAGTGAAAAAACAAAAGAGTATTGGATACAGTTAGAAACGCCAGAATAATTGTGATGATCAGGAATTTACTGGTGAAATGAACGCAGAAATAGACAATTGTGCCTGAATCGTTGATTCTGAGGCAAATATACGTATAACGAATAAGAGTGAATGGTATTCAATGTTTACATATTTCTTAGAAGGTGTAAAAGTTCTTATGTAAAATAAGACTAGAGTTGACACAATGGAGAAAGAAGAAATCAATTTTCTTTCGTGTGTTGAAGGAAAGCAGATATGTTGGCATATGGGGAATGGTTTATGTTCCGGAAACTCGGAAAAATATATTCTCGGAAGCAGCTGCTGTAGACAAAGGTCCAACGTTTCTCTATGAGAAAGACAAACATGAGTTCATCAGTGGTGTTGTGAAGACCTGTGGACTGCGTAATGGACGGCTAATGGATGGACATTCGAGTAGTGAAACCGAAGCAATTTTGCATTCCTGCGGTAAATCAAGTTGAGCATCCGTCGGTGCCTCCTCATTGGGTGCGTACTATTTGCATTAGGCGGGGTGGCGTTAGAATATATTATCATTTTCTAAAACTGATTCTGGATTCTCATTTTGGATCAATTTTCCCTGAAATCGAGTTAGTGTCAGCTGGCAATGAATTATACCAGAAAGTTGGTTGTGATGTAGCACATATTCATTATGAGACAATGTTGTACGACGTGTTGTACGTGATCAATACTTTCGATATAGCCATTGCAATGAAGGCATGTCATTAGTAATGGAGTGTTCCTTCTCCATTTAGATTATTCCTCGTGAGGACTACCTCATTCTGTATTGCAAGCATGAAACCTTCAGTCTTCACAAACAGTAACAAGCCAGGTTGGTTATTTGTGGCAGGGATGTATAACTGGTAGTAGTATTTTCAGTGAAGGGATTTAGAAGCCCAGCTTTTTTTAGTAGCCGTTGACTATAGGTCAAACAGGGCTGGTTTAACATAGAAGCTGTGACGTTTGGAGAAAGAATAATATACGCACGTTTTCTTAGGCTCCAGAATATCTTCTCCGTACTTTTACTATACGTAGTTGAATGATGTACCAAAAGAGCCAACTTTTGAAAACTAGAAATTTTCCGTCCCGAATTATACGAAATTAATTTGCTTCCGTAAATGATCTACAGATTTGTTTTTATGGCATTGCTAAAAAAATAACCACTCACACCTCCGGCTATAACCCTACCACAACGAGCAAAAGATGAGCTCAAGAAAACGTTCGCATTGTAATGGTACATTTAGGTCCAGAAGCAAATAAAATGAACAACCTCAGCATATGCTCAATGGGTCAAACTGGGCAACAACTTGATCGTGATAGAGGTCATAGACTAAGCTAAAGTACATTACTTGTTACAAGCAATATTACTCTTTTTAAAATTATTCAGTGCAAAAGTTAACTAATTCTTTAAATATCACTGTTAAAATAAATTTTATTTCTCTTGATATTGGTCGAAGGTGCTTAGTCGAAAGTGCTTGGTCGAAGGTGCTTGGTCGAAGGTGCTTGGTCGAAGGTGCTTGGTCGAAGGTGCTTGGTCGAAGATGCGTGGTCGAAGGAAGTATCTTGTCCTAGCAGTGACAGGGAATGAAGTTGAGGAGAGAGGTGGAGAGGAATGAATAATGAAAGAGGTAGTAGAAAGATTAGGTAAGGGGATTATGTAAGTGGGTCCGAAGGAGGTTCGGAGGATGTAGGTGGGGATGGTCCTTGAGCAGTACAGTGCCAAGAAAGTGAAAGGATGTATTTTGCAAGCTCTATACCGAGCACATACTTACCAGCATAGTTCACGTGACGACCATGCTAGATGCAATGTTTTCCTGATAGAAAGTTTAGTTCAAACAGTTAAGCCCGTTTTGGTGATTAGGACCTCGTATAGCCTTAAACTGGCCCTGAAAGACCATAGATAAAATGTTGTTTTTTTAATTTCAGAATTGTAGTTGGTGTCTGCAATTTCTATGAACTTATGACGTACTCACAGTTTATCTTTTCCATGGAAGATTTATCGGAAGTTTTCTATTCATCTGTCGTGAAGGACGTTTATGAAAGTATGTCTCTGTTTCCAAATGGCCTGATGAGCGCTCCACGCAGAATTTGGGATGTGTCAGTTTATAATTTGTCATGTTCTTCCAAGAATCCGAAGGCTGGGCAAATGTCTACTGGATTATTTTATGATTTCAAAACAGTAAATTGATATGTTCTGTGCTGTTTTGTGGCTTGTCAGCGCGCTACAGGTCTTGGCCGAGCAGCATAAATTGATGCGGGGACTGCATAAATAATTATTCTTCTTTTTATTTAGTGGTTGTAACTGTTCGTGAAGATTACCAAGAAAATCCATTGAACGTTAAATCTGTGTGTGTAGGTTAAGCATTTGAATCACCTTAACCAAACTATGCTACAGTGATTCCAATGTGAAGCCTAGAACCTGTGAAGGCCGCAAAAGCTCAAAGCGATCACAATCCGAAGCAAGTGTGCGTCCGTGCAACATGCGGCGTGAGCATAAAGCACCTATACTGTTTCCTGTCAACTGGAGGTCCATCCAGAATCTACCACGAACCAACGTGCGTTTGCCTTCTGTTGTAATAAATCCTTGTTCAATGCTCTGGCAGATAAGACCTGCCGAAATGTGTTGCTTTTGGCTGTTGTTTCAACATACGTTCTGGCCTTTGTACAGTGATTGTCTGCAGGGAGTCGCAATAATGAATTTTTGGAATTTTTGTATGCATTTTTTCCCTCACTTCATTTTGAAGTTTGGACGCAACTTTTCAAATCACTGTGTGTAGATATTTTGCATATGTACAGTACGGAAATGTTGGTTGGTTCTCATACAATCGACATATTGCACATTTATTTCTTATTGATCTCATGGAAGCTGTTAGTGTGTAAGTAGATATCAAGTGACATTGTTATAATAATACATCTTAAACATCTTGAAATATTCTACGATATATGTTATTGCTGACAAAATCAAATTTAGGAACAGAGAAACCCATGTGTTTATTATTGTCGCAAGCAGAGATAATTTATATGCGAGTCATTCTTTGTAAAATCGTAGGAATATTGTTGACTTCTTTGAATTTTGCTGAAAATATGGATTAGCTGATTTTAATATGAAAAATATCGTTGAATCTTATTTACTTTACAGTAATGGGAATTATGTGACACAACAGAAACTTCCTAAAGAAGGAAGGCCTATTTTTACGCCAACCTTAATATAAATATGTTAATATTGTAAACTAGATTCACAAGTGGCGTGAATAAGATCAATATTATGAGTTCTAACGCTTAAGACGATGGGTGAGCACGCGAAACACAAGCGCGCGTGCGATCACGACGAAAAGAAGATGTTAAATTAGCTTACGCTGTTTACAGACACGGTTCTTCCATAGCTATATATTATTATTAAGAACTGAACATTTAAAAGTGGCATATTACACTCATGTTTCGGTATTAGTTGTAATGCCTACACAGAAAAAACTTTTAGAATACTACATTTGTATGTTTTCAATGTCTGTTTCTGAAATCGATCACATTCTTCAGAATTATCAAACTCATTACCTAATTTCTTCGTAGTGTTTAAAAATAGTTGGTACAAGAAGAAACTCTGTTCTGGAGCTCTGTTCAGAACAGAGTTTTTCTTGTACCAACTATTTTTTAAACACTATTTACGAAGAAATTAAGTCATGAGTTAGATAGTTAGATTTTTATGATTTCTATTGAAATATAAACAATGTTTATATGGTTTTTGATTTCAATCTATCCAAGGTTTTGTTGTCAATTGTAACAAGTAGTGAAAAACTATTGATACGCTCTTGATCGTTGGGATGCGTATTGACATTAAATTTTGTTTAGCGTCATAAACTACGGGCACGTAGCCCGTTGATTCCCATGGGACTGAAGGATGTGCGCGGTAACGCTTGTCGCGTCCACGCCAATTCACCGACCAGCTGGCGGACGGATCCCAATTCCACGATCCTTCCCATATGTTGCTCAATACGCACGCTCAATAAAAGTTGGCCGGTCGTCACATTCAAAGTAGATTTAATTCACGAAGAAATAATGAGTCCGTGCGTAATTAAAGTGCGGTCTTGCCCCTAACACGACTAGTGAAGAGGTTAAAGGCTTTCCACGTATTTTTGAATCGATGTAAATCAATAAATGGAAAAGGACGATAATGTGTCGTACGATTTTACAAAGAATGAGCCAAATCTATGACATGCTTTAGATATATATCTGAAATAAAAACTGATATGAGAACATAAATTTTCCTTCAATGATATTTAGAGTTTCTCAGCACTAGAGCAACCATCTTCAAAACACGTTTCTATCAAACGACCCCATTGAGTTTTGCCCCACACGTTATCTTGGCACAGCATACTCTAAACAATTTACAAGTGTCATACTTATGTCAAAAACTCTGATGAACTCCAATATGATTTTTTATACAACTGTGCAAAGCTATATAAATATTACATTAATTATCTCGTAAGATACACTGCAAGTAATACAATATTTTTTGTATTTGTATTCTTTCGATTTGGAGACATCAGAGAGTTCCATTACTTTAAAGCCTCTTAATATTGTCTCGCCTTCCAAAGGGTTTACTGCCTAATGCAGTTCTAATTGTCCCATTATCTATTTGATTCTGGAGAATGGAACAAAATAACATTACGAGGGTCGTTCAATATATAAGTTTCCCTATGTTGTAATATTTTAATGTTGTAACATATCCTTGGAAGTCAAATGTGGAATATTTGCTTTTTCACCCATCGGAAAAAATTCCATCCTAGTCCTTTAATGTTTTTAGAGGCTTCCACATCACATCAATTTAAAATAAGAAAAAGGCCAGGAATAACATTCATCCTTGTTGGAAAACGTCGCAAGTCTCCAGATGCCGTAGTAGGGCTGTGTAGTGAATAAGGCAGCTATCCTACCCCAGATTTGCAATTCGGGTCTGTTTTTGAAGGACGGAGGCGGTCTTTAGTTGAAAGTTGTCCAACACGCTCATCCATGGTCGAGAGTTTCATTCTCTACAATTTTTAAGGGTGAACGCATGCTCTCTTCCAAGAACTCCAGTGAACACGAAATCTTTTGAAGCCAGAGTTTGTCAAAGCCAAAATCAATACTTAGTACCCTTGTTGCCGATGGCGTTGTCTCGATTTTTTCATACGAGAGTAACTGGGTATGTCATTCCACCGATGTGCTCTGAAATTCGGAAATCAAAAATCCAACGAAATAACCGTCCCGTCGCAATGATGACATTATTTCTGATATGGCATTTGGCATTCCCGTTTCTGACAATGTTTAGAAATGATTTTACGAATACATTTTATGAAACTTTGTGCAATTGCATCTTCTCAACAGATTTTTTCAAAGATTTCGTCACCTAACAAACTCATTCTTCGGATCGGTTTATCGATCACCTCTAGAGGCAGCAAAAGAACGGTCGATTTGGAATTCGCCAAAAGCGATTGCTCTGCCTTCGGACAACAAATTGCACTTACCTTCTCATCATGTTCAGTCATGCGGAATGATCATTCATGGAGCAAGATTCCTGTAGATATTAGGGAATGTTATTTGCCTTTTTTACAGCCTCGCGAATCTCACTGCTTCCTGCCAACACGTTTCTAATGAACAATATCTGCCAAGCTGAAATACTTCCTTTGACGCGAGTGCGTCCCCCAGCAGTTTGCAATGCGATTTAATTTGCAGCCTCTGTGGGCATGAGGCTTCGCGTCTGCAGAAGAAACGATTATCGTACTTCGCGGGCGATAGATAGCGCTCGTTAACCCTCGGGCGGAATATTCCTGGGGATTTTGTAAGAAAGCGACTCACACAGGGAAACTTGCATACTGAACGACATCCGTAGGTGTCGGCCGCTGCGAAGCCCAGCGGCGCGGCCTTAAACTTAGGGCGAAGAGGGGAGCTGCGCCCACCTGGAGGGTTCTCGCGGTCCTCCCACACGATGTTGCGAGCGGCCAGCACCTCCAGCTCCAGGTGGCCCTTGGTCATGACCAGGCCCAGGCGGAGCTCGCCGTGGCGGCCCGACGGCTGGCGGTATCCACGCGGGTGCACCTGCCCAGGTCCCAGCTGCACCTCCTGGCTGCTGCAATGCCAAGCCGCCCACCGCCGACCGCCCTTGCTCAACACACACAGCCTCCACACCTACATCCACCATACACCACACAAGGGGCGCCAGCGGGGGAGGGCTTATTGAAGAGAGAAAGACCGCAAATGCGGTATAGCCAGGACGGAAGGCAGATTCAACGCATCGCTAATTATTACATATCGATTCTCAATTTACAGACGGGTTATCCTCAACATGTCCTTTTCGCTAACAATTAAATAAGAACAATCTACTATTTATGGAACTTTATTCAGAAGTAGTACAATCTAAATTATGTTCAAAGTTAAAGAGAGCAATTTTTACATTTGACTACAGAAATAAATCTGCAAAGAGTTTTGTTCTAGCAACAGAGTTAGGGATACTGAAATCAGTTAACTCCTATTTCCTCACTTTTTATTCCTAGTCGATATCTATACATATTTCAGATCTATTACACTTTTTTCTTTGCAGTATCTTCACAGAAATATACCCTATTGTGTTAAGAATTCGATGTAGAATTCCGAAATAGAAATTCAGCGATGGTCATTTATTTGTCAAACGCTATTTCTCTATCGAAATTAGTGCCGAAAAGCGTCTAGATTTAAAAAAAAGTGTTTACCTTAATAGATTACAATTTTTTATTTGTTTTGCTTTTATGAAATATGAATAAACACAATCTGATTTGTATTTATATTTTCAATTCTATTTAAGCACAAATGTTATGAAATATTGACAAATGTCGAATTTTACGAAAGTTGTATTATATATAGCATACATATTTCTAAAGATTAGAATATTTAAAATGTATTCTTGAGAATACAAATAACATGGTAAACACGAAAAGATATTTTCGGTTCGATTATAATGTTCAGAGGCCCGCGGTAACGGACTTCGACGCTAGCGTGAATCGACATAGTATGCGCGAAAGTTGTGTAATCGGTGAAAAAAAAATCGAACATTGCAGTTTCTTGTAAACATCACTGGACAGTTGGGAAAATGTGTGACTGCAAATCGCAGAAATATGGTGCAGATCTAGAGAGAAGTGTGAGGGCAAAGCGGGAGCTATGTGAGCTGGTGAGCCAACGGCGCAGATAGTCAACAAGAAGCTGTTGTATTTAAGGTTCACAGGTTCACATACAAAAATTGAAAAAAATATTCTTCGTTTTGGCAACCTTCATGATAAATAATACGACCTGTTTCTTCTCTACTTTCCATACCACTATTTCTTTGACAAACCGATGTAGCACCTTTGCTGTAGTCGTTTTCAAAGTAACACCGCTCCTATAACGAATTCATTGTACGGCGTTTTTTCCTTCTGTTTTTCTTGAGAGTTTTCAGCGAATGAAGTCCACACTTACGCGGTTATGCGCAATGGCACGCGCTATGGCAGAGCAGCACAGCACAATCTAGGCAGTGGCACAGAACTATCTCGCTGCCCAACTGCGGCCCACTGACTCCATAAAGTGTTCTCTGTAATGTCCTACACACTAATTCTACATCTGATGTGGATGATGAGCGTTGACTTAATATTTATAGTGTTATTTGGAAAGTTTACAGTTTAGTGGAATTCATATACTTTCAGTACGCCCGTAATACCATTGACAGCTTCAGTGCCACTTCTTTCGATCGTAGTCTGAAAGTAGTAAAAGAATAAAAATTGGCAGTACTTCTGCAAATGCAAAAAAAGTATGACACTCAATTTTAGTTCATGTTAATGGTTTGTTTAATTTATAAATCATATACACGCTGCTCTTTGCAATGGAAAATACATATTTGAAGCGATTTCCTGAAGAACTATTCGTAAAAACCCTCATTTTCTTCAATGAAACGGATTAAATTTTGTATCAAAAACTGAACGACAACAGACTCATTGCGTGTCTTTGCGATCTGCCAATAGAAAAGCAACTTGCCCGAGAAATCAGTAACTTTAATGAATTAGCGATGGGGTTTGTACAGCTGAGAAATCGGTGATGTCGCCATAAATTACCTAGGCTATAAGTATACTTTTAAGATGAAGGACACGACAAGAGACGAATTGGAGAATCGTCAAGTCCATGCAAATGAAATGCTGATCAAAACAATAAGAAACGTTTTAAGAATTGTATGAACAGGGCAAATGCAAAGAAGGAAGGTATATTAAAATTTTAATATTTTTACTGCCAGACACAAGTGAATATGTACTCTGAGTATCCTCAGAAAGTAAACACTATTAACAAGATGGTAACGCGTCCTTCTTTTCGGGTGTATTGAAGAAAGAACGTTGCGGCCACCGCTGTCGACAGGATGTGGAGTCCCTTGGCATGCGTACTTCCTATCTGTGCATCAGAATTAATGTGTTCAAGCTAGTAGTTTACGCAAGCAATGCTTCGTCTGTACTATGAGGAAAAAGCATCACTGAAGAGATAGTCATTGTATTTGTTCAGAAAAGCGAAATTGTCCTGTATGACACGTTATGTGTAAGGCCCGGATAATTATGTACGGACATATTTTCCTAACGTAACTCTGTTAAGTCAAATCAACGAAATATTCATTTCATATCGGTTAGTACCAAACAACATTGACGTTTTAGTACATATTTTTACATATATTGCCCGAAAGTACATATTTCATTTGTATTTATTAATTTATATTTATATTCTACAATGCCAGCGGGATATACCCAATGAGAGGTTTATATTTAACAAAGATCCAGTCATTTAATAAAGTAATATCAGGTAAAAATAACAGCAACTAGTTACTATCGATGTAAAAAAATTAACTAAAATAAAATTAATGGTGACTGGTTATAATAAATGGAAAAGAAAACGAACCAATCTATCTATTGTACGTGTACGAACACTGCTGCATTGCACGAAGTCACTATCGAGTCAGTAAAGATATCGATATCACTCTCAGCCCTGTTAAATGTGTTGTCATTTGATTCCGTGTGGCGGGTAACTGCCAGTATTTATATATTTTACCCAAAAGAACGTATTTTCACATGTTAATGTTTTTTTCCCATTTTTATTTAGTTTTGCATTTTTCCTTTACTTTTTGATAAGGAATCTCCTTGACACACAATTCAACTTTGTCATTACATTTTTTCTGTAACTTCCTCTCTGAAATGATGCTATTGAATTGCGTTGAAATCGGGGTCCGTAGATACCGAACTTGCAAATACAAGGGAAAGGCGACGACGTAGTCTCTAGCTTCTGGTGTGTTAGTTTTTAGCCCAAGTATCGCCGAAAAAACAAAGGAAGTAAGGTTTGTGAAAATGATACGTTTAGTAGGCGATATCGCTCATCCACTTTGCATCTTTCATGGGTCTCTCTAGACCTTGTTACCCGTCACCAGAAACTATTTCACCCAGCTCAAGAAGCACCGTTGACATTTTTCTTTCCTCGATTTTCACACGCGTACCTCCGCAGTTGTTTGTAATTTCTCTCTTTGGGCCGACGATCCAAAATAAACTGACGATGTGGCACTGAAGCTTTTGGACTAAACCTTATGGAGCAGTAGTAACGTTGAGTGAGAATTTAGAAAGGCAAGAACGGCTATTTCCGAAGATTTTTATTTTCGAAATCCAAGTTGGCAATTTGAAGCCGCGTCGTGTTTACTGAGAAAGGTTTCCGTTCGTACGTAAAAAATACTAATATTTATTTAAAAACTGACAAAAGGGAAATGGGCCGATAATTTTGAATTTCATTTTTGTTGCAATTTTTGAAGAGCGGCTTAATCTTGATTGTTTAGAAAATATCTGAAAAAGTTTCGGTGCATAAGGATACATTAATTATGTCAGTTAATGTGTCTTTATCAGACTATCCGAAAATTCATCTAAACCAGCCGAATATTTATTTTTTAGTTTAGGGATTATTTTGAGAATTTTATAGAAAAAAAATTAGAAAACAACCATCGCGTATCAAATTTTTTGGGCTAAAAGTGTAAGTCTCTTTTTTTAACTTATGAAGTGTTACCCAAATGCAACCATCAAACTTTTGCAAACTGTTACCATAACATTTTTGTGGCCTGATGAAGTTTAACACAGTAACGTCTTCTTTCTGGTACTAACCTACGGGTGCAAGGCGGCAGCCCTACATGAGTTGTATCCAAAATTAATACTTTTAATACAAAATAGGATTAACAAGATTGGGCACTTGGATTGATTCTATGCACTACAATGCTCTAAACGTTGATTTTGTACATATTAGTTATACATTAATTTGATTTTGATGCTGCAGCCCCAATAGGCATACGAAAGTAAATAATTGTTGCTGAAAAGCTGAAAAATCATATTGCACCATTTTTCAGCAAGCACTACAATTAAATATTTGGAGACGTCCTTGAAACCTTTCGACAGCCTTGAAATTGCTCAATCAGCTGAGACTTTTTTAAGAACTGTTCATTTATCATTCAAAGATCAGCAGGGGATCTAGTGAAGAAAAAGAGATCTTCAGTTCTGGAGAAAACCCCGGATTCGAAACAATTTGTGCTATTAGTGCAATGCAATGAGGGTACAATTCCGTCACACTGAACACTGACCACACGCCAGAGGATATGTGCAAGTTTAAATACGCATAAGTGACTCGTGCGATGTACCAGGCTCTTTCAGTCAGTACAATGCCCTTTTACAACATAATAGGAAAAGTTTAATTGCTGAAAATTTGAAACAAGTATTTGATTTTATTGTTACGGAAATCGTTGTAAATATTGGGATTAGAAAGATTATAATGTTTAATTTTGGTCTTTATATTATGAAACTGAACTATATATTCTAAGATAAAAGTATGTAATAAAAAAGAATTGATTTAGTGATACATATTTCTTATTTTGTACATATTTCTGTATGATATAATAATATATATGCACATATTTTCCCAATTTCTAGTTCATAATTATGCGGGCCCTAGTATGTCTATCTGAACTGAGATAATTTAATGAGGGTTTATAAAGTAATGGCTGTCGCGTCTCTATTTTTGGAAGTTAATGTTGGATTCTGAGACAGAAAGATAAATAGGGATTGC